GGCACACTAGTGTGCCACGGCACAGTGGTTGAAAAACACTGCCCTATGACTATCATTAAGTGCTGTACCTTATGATTCTTGACGAATGTATCTTATCTTTTATGTACAGAGAGCATATGAATCAAAGACAAATTCCTTGTGTGTACAATCACACTTGGCCAATAAAGAATTCTATTCTATTCTATTCTATCTCTACTCTATCCTATCTCAGGGGAACTTAGAACAAAACGAGGTCAAAGACACCGCAACCCTTTCCTCCTCAAAACGAGAATAAACTTCTAAAAAATCAGGCTGGATTTCCCCTCCTCCTATTCTTACCTGCTTGTATTTTACAACGCCTCGTCTAATCACCCCTCCTTTGCCCAAAACCCTTCTCTCCAACACGCTTTGAGAAACGGACGCAGTTTCTCTTTGACTTCCGTGGGATTTTCGCGGACGGAACCTTACGAAAGCCATTGGTTGAAAGCAAAAATAGCCACCCCACACACTGGCCTGAAGTACGCCTGGCCAGAGTTTACATCGGGTGGAGACGATGGATGAGGTAGACCTCCGAACCCAAAGCGAACACAACCACCCAGCCGAGATAGTTCTCGTTGGTTCCCAGCATGCAAACGAGCTTCCTAGAGCGGCGGAGGCTTCCGCCCAACTCCGGAGAGTTTCCTTCACTGGAGCTACAGGGGCAAAATGGCGGCCAAGGCGCCAAATACAAATATTTGAATTTGGCGAGGTGAGGGCTGACGCTGTCTCTGGCCGACTTGTGCTGAGGGTGGTGAGGCCATGGACGCCTCGGCGTGTATGAAGTCTCTGCTCTTGGCGGCTTCTCAGTACCGAGCTGCCCGCACCCAGCCCAACGCAGCGCTGCTCCAGCGGAATTTAGAGGTGAGAGACCACCCGGTTCAAAGCTCCCGCCCCCCTCTTCTACTTTCGGATATTTTGTACTGGAAACAGGTAGAGAAAGAAGGCGCGTTCAAATAACCGGCCCGCTGCTGCCTCAGAGTTATTGAAGCTTTTCCGTGACAATTCCCCCAGTGCTGCCTCGTTTTTGCGAACTGTTGAAAGATATGCGGAAGAAGATCCATATATAAACAAAGTGGTGTTATGCCCTGGTCGCTCCTAGCGCGAAGACGGCCAGTAATCGTTGAAGAACTGAATGTAGGACGCCGTCCTCAACTGATCCTCGACCTTTTATGTAGGCAACCCCTGCCATTTCGTTTTGGCAGTGACACATATCAACCCCTACCGGAACAGGCAAAGACGCCACCCCCAAATCCGTTTGGGGACGTGACCCAGCTCTGCGGCTGTGATTCATGCATCGGGCCACAGCCATTGACCATAGGAAAGTCATGTGGTGTGTGTGTGTGTGTGTGTGTGTGTGTTTTTCCCCTTGTGCCAAAAAGCCATTGCTCTCACTTTTCTTGCCAACCAATCTCAAGAA